TTCAATTGCAGTATAATCAGTTGATCACCCTAACCTGCGGATTTGCTTTGACCGTTTTCTAATTTCACTTTGCTGTGTGCACAGTAACTTGATTCTTAGCAAACTTCTCTGAGACACATGTGTGTGTTATGTACAGTGGGTGGAAGAGAAGTCTCCAGACTGTCAAGATTGTTGTTTGAGGAGTGGTTTTGTTCCTCACATCTACAAGCATGTAACTGATGTTCCTGGCCTACCTCTTTCATTTTCCTCCTCCCAAAGATCAACAGTGTGTTTGCATATACCCAGAAAATCTCCTATTCTCATCAGTTTGAAAGCCTAGATGAGTCTGCTTTCTGCTCAGCTGTGGGTTTTGCTCAAGAGCATGGAGCATGTATCTTCTTTAAATTAGCCTAGGAAATTTCCCATTACTCTGCAGTTTTCCTGCCAGGCTGACCTAAGAAAGAGAAAGGACTCTTGTGGCAGTAAGAAGGGCTAATCGCAGAGCAATAGAGCAGCCTATTCAGTAGTCTTTAATTAGTAGGGTAATTAGTACTCATGCTGTCCTTCTAAGCCAAATCACCACCATCAGCCATTAGGAGTTGAACATTTTCTACAAAGTTTCTAGGAGTTAAAATAGTTTCCAAATAATTGGTACAGCAGCAATTTGCTCTGACCTGATTTTTTTTTGTATGACTTGGTTTGACCTACAGTATTTTCTGTTTGTTAGACAACATATTGCAAGAAAAAATACTGTAGAATATAATAGTGATTAAGACTGTAGACAAAACAGTGCACATGAGCAATTATTTAATCCTTTTTTGAAAGATTTATACAAAAATTCCAAATTGCCCATGGCCCTCCTCTCTTCCCAAATGTGGGAGCAGAATCAAACTGAAGTATCTTAATCTGAGATGCTGCACACGGCTCTAATGTCCTGTACTGTGGTCTTGTTTCTCATAAAGGAAGGAAAAAAGTCTTTGAAACCCAAAGAATTTCCATACCTCTGCTGGTGTTTCTATAGGACAGGTACCATTGTTTTTTAATTGATTAGCAAATTGAAACATGAGGGTGCTGTGGTGTAAGTTACAGTTGAGAGAAAATAAAACCTTCAGATTTGCACTGCCCATGTGGAGTATTTTTGTAAGAAGACCCATTCTTTTCTGTAATGGACAGCTTCCAGCTTTTTCAAAAAACAAAAGGGCATTTTTGAGAGAGTTGCTGCTTGATTTCAGTTGTTGATTAGTACAGCTACATTCCCTGACTACTACTGCTGTAGTTTCCCTGTTTCACAGGATAACAGGCTGCAGAAGGGTCAGCTACACTACCCTGTGCATCATTTTATTCCAGTACAGCTTATTCCAGCTCTGGTGTGAAAGGGCAGTATATACTTCTCCTTTGAAATGGAACGGAACTAAATTGCGTTGTGTCCTAACTTGTTGAGTTTGATGGGAGTAGGTATCTTTGGCATGAAAGAAGAGAAGCTTACTTACTGATTTACTCCATTCATGGTTTTGTATTGGCAGAAATGTAGATCTAGTCAGTGCTGGCGGGGCTAGAGCTAACTCCCCTTCCCACTAGTCTGGGACTAAAACATAAGTAATTTGAACCAGTTTCTCTGCGTGGCCGTAGGTTTTAATTTCTTTGATTAAGTGAAGCTAGCTCATATTGAACATACTGCAGGAAACATAGATGTCATCTAATAGCATATTGTGGTAATACGTTTCAAGAGCAGGAGAGTGAGTTTCATTTAAGTGGTCTCAGGCTATCAACTAACAGCTCTGATCTTCTGAAATGGGTGTCTGGTGGACTGTAGTGTTTAATGCTTTGGTTCTTTCCCTCTAACTGTAGCAGAAAGCTCAAGTTCCCGGACATGCTCATCCAGCAGAATAACCATACACACAAACAGGTGTGTGCCTGCTCTGTGCTCTTTGTTACCTTTGGGGTGGGAAGGAAGGTGCCCATGAACATTGGCAGGTGCAAAGAAAACTTTAAGTAGGAAAGAAAAGTGTTTGGAAGTTCTTTAACAGCTTAGCTCCCTATTCTTGTGTGGTTAAGATAGTTTCATGGTAATTGAGGTTTTCATTTAGTCTAATTGATCTTGATTCCTTGTGCATTATATGAAGGCAAAGTAGGTATTCCCAATTTTTATCAGTATGTGCTAATGGTTTTTTTCTTCTAGAGACTCTGATCTTTAGCTCTGATGTCTTTCTGTAAATTTCTCAGTGACACCACATTCACCATCCTGGCAGCCTCTTCAGAGAATGGATATCATTGTACATGGTCAAATATTCTGCAGTGAGCTGGGAGAGGGTATAACCTTCCTATGAAATACCCGCTGTGGGTCGCTGCTGGAAACATGATAGTGAATGATGTTAACTGGTATTCTGATGTACTGTCAAATTTGCTATATCCCTTATCAATCAGACTTTGTCTGAGGAAAACCCTAGAACTTGTGCTGTTTCTTCTGGGATCTATTTTAAAGGCCTTTGTCACAGCCCCCAGCCATTCAGCCACCTTGCCACCTTGGGTGCTTTCAGGGAGGAATTACATGGTTTTATTACTTACTTTTTTTGTGTGTGTGTGTACATAAAGTATTATATGAAATACTGGAAAAACCGTCATTCACAATATGTCCTGGTTTGGTCTGGGGTGGGGGTTTTTTCCCCCTCAATTATGGTAGCTTTAGCTATTTGTGTATGTTACCTCTACATTGACTTGCTGCCCTCACCTGTCCCAGATGTTCTCACTTAAAGGAAATGTCTTCATTATTCTGACATCATCACTATAAGCCTTGAACCCATTTCACTTTGTCTCAAACTCAAGTCCATTGTCCTGATGGCTAGTGTTTTTCCCAGTTCTTTTCTGCACAATTCTCCTTTGTTCTACCATCCCTGTTTGCTTTTTTTCCTTCGTAGCATTTCTGTGACTGGAACAACTTTTCTGTTTGTAAACTGGAATCTTGCTGACTGTGACAACCCACTTATTTTGCAAGCTCTCACTGCTAATACCTTTTTTTTTCCCTTTCTACTGAATTAATGGGAAGCTGTTTTGAGTTGTGACTTCTTTTGTTCTGGGCAGTGACATATGTGTATAGACTTTTTCTTAACATTATTTAGAATCTATGAAAAAATATTTGTGTAGGAGTTAGCCTCAGTATTTTAAGGCAGGGCTATGAGTGTTAAGTTGAAGTACAAAATTAATTAATTATTCATTCAGTAAACCTCCTAGTGCAGTGTTTTCTAGTGCCAGACGGATATGTGCTGTGCTGAGGAAAGCAGGCTATTCAAAAGGAACGTTTGGTTCAGATGTATTTGGCAGGCATCTGCTTAATTTAAAAAAAAAAAACCCTACTAATTAATAAAAAAATCGCATGCACAGGTTTTAACTTTACAGGTAGCAGGGTGCTAAAAAGTAAGACACTGAGGCTTTATTCCATTAATGTGGTTTCATCAGTCCTGATGAGGTCTAGGGATTAGAGAAATATATATGTGGTTTCAGTACACCTAGGGAAATAGCTTTACTGTGGCATTTCTGGAAAGTAAGTTTGATAGTTTTTACACTGGTGTTTTGAAATGGACTTGTGTACGTACTTTCAGTCCTGTGTCCCCAGGCTGCAAGGACAGGAGTAAAGTCCAATGTAGTCATGTTCGTTACTTGAAGAAGGCTGAAGGTAGGGGAAAACATTTTGGAAATGATGTCTAGATTAAATCTACCTGCTTGTAAACTATTACCTTGCTTCTCTTCAGGGTCTGTATGACATGGAAGATGATGATGAAAGTGTCTCTCCCCTTAGTAGCAAACAGATGAAAATCACCACCACAAACAGCTTCCTGCACAACGCGGTAAGGGATTATCTGAACAGTCCCCACCATGCCATACTCACATTGGGTTTACACACAGGCTGCAGCTTTACAGGGCTTATGTTCTTTTAAAGTATGTAAATTATGCCTTCTCCTGAAATGTTTGCTCTTTACCCCACTCTTCCCTTTGTGCCAATGCTTCTAGTGTTATTTTTGGGATGGAGTCCTTTTAGGCTAACTGTGGTTTTGCAGGCCTTTTGCAGCCAGAATGTGTGCTTTCTCCCTTGCTGGCAGGTTGCTGCATGTTAGCTCTTGACTTTCTTCTTGTTGGGGAAGTGCTTTGAACCTATCTCGTTATTGTTTGAGCAGGCAAGCAAGGGAAGCTTTCTGCTGCTTCTAGAGGCTGGACATCAAAGCAGGCAATCTCTTGTCATGCAAAATCTTGGTTGGCAGCTTGTTGGGGAGTACTGATAACTCTGGAGAAGATGGAATTTCAACACAGACAAATGCGAGGTCCTGCTCTTGGGATGGGGTAACCCTCTGCAACTTAAGCTAAGAAGTGACTGGCTGGAAAGCAGCTTTGTAGGAAAGAGCCTGGGGGTCCTGCTGGGTGATATGCTAAGAATGAGTTAGCAGCGCATCCTTGCAGCAATGAAGGCCAACTGTAGATTGTGTATTAGTGATATCATAGCTAGGAAATCAAGGAAGATTATTATTGCCATCTGTTTGGCATTTTGAGAATGCACCTGGAGTACTGTGCCTATTTTGGGGCTCTGCGATACAAGACAGATGCTGACAGACTGGAACTAGTACAACAGGGTGGTTAGGGGGCTGAGGAGAGGGTGAGAGAGTAGTGTCTCTTAAGGCTGAGAAGAGAAGGCTGTAGTGAGATCTGTCCATGCGCTTTCACTGCCTAATAGGTGGTCATGGAGAAGGCAAAACCTAGGTCCTCTTCAGGATTGAACAGGGAGAAGATGAACCAGCAATGTCTTGCAGCAAAAGAAACTGTAGTTAGATATGGGGGGAGAGTTGTGCAATTCTCAGTGTGTTGGTCAGCCTCTGGCACAGGGGCCCAGAGAGGTTGTGAAATCACTGTTCTTGGAGATATCCAGAGTTTAACTGGATGAGGCCCTGAGCCAACCAGATGTGTCTTTGAAGCTAGCCCTGTTTCAGACATGAGGGCTGGACATGGGTTTGTCCTAAATTATTGTGCGGTTCTAAGAAAGCAAATTAATGTGGTCTTACCATCACACAGGCAGTTTAGTGCAATAATTATCCCATGTTATTTTTCTCATGTGGGTATTCAGAATAGAGCTTCTGGCCATTTGTGGTCCTTAAAATCAGCCTTACGTTTTTTTTGCAGGACTAAATGTCTTATCTCCAGTGTTCACAGCAGCTGCCAAGCACAATTTTTATTCTGGCTTTAAACTCCCCAGGTAGTTCCAACTAGAAAGGTTATGCTCTGTGTCTTTGCGTGCCCTAGCTTGGTGTTTCTGAAGAAAGTGCTCATTAGTGAGGGAAGTGCTCTTTTGGGATAAACATGCCCAGAAACTGTAGTTGATTTTTGTCTCAAAGCTGAAAATCTCCAGCACTGTAGTGGTTTTGACACCAGGAAGGACATGCAGTTCTTAGTGCATGCTAGTAGTGCTCTCCTGCTGTTGGTGCTTGAAGAGTAGGGATGACTTGTAGCCTGCAGCTCTGAGATACTTTATTCTTTCTTCCTGTAGACTGGGCTGAGTGGCAGTAAATTCTCTCTGTCCAAGACTGTTCCCCTGACTAAAGTGGTCCAGAACGATACGTACACAGCTCCACCTGCACCTCCCTCTCCTATGCGGACAAAGGCCTTGACAAACATGTCCCGGACCTTAGTGACAAAAGAGGAGCCTCCGAAAGAACCAGCACCTGTTGAGGTGAGCCTCAGGGAAGCGGGAGATGCTCTTTTATCTCTTATTCAAGTCTCTGAAACATCTGAAGCTTGCTGTTCGTCGGTTATGCAAGCAGCTCATTTCTGCCTGCCTTCCACCATTATTTCTGGGACTCTCATCAAGATTAGTCTGATAACTGCAACCCATGTCCCAAGAATTTGAAACCTCTCTAAACATCCTTTTCTTCAGCATTTGAGAGACTGGGAATTCTCAATTAGTGCATCTTGCTTCTCTCAACTTTTTTTATCTAGCATGGGAGCACATGGTCCTGGAGGAATCCAGGAGGAATCCATGTTACAGGGAGGTGGCAGTTGTTGTTTGGACACCCCTTGGAGGTTTCCATGTCCCTAGGAATAGTGTTTTAACGCTACTAGTTACATTGTCTTCTGTTAGCAAGGAGGAAAACAGGATTCTTCCAAATGCAGTTTCTTGCTGTCCACACAAGATCTCTCAGGCAATTTGTAGACAACCTGCCTGGAATTGCTTTGCCAGACTGCCTGATGTTGGGTACAGGTAATGCACCAGATATTCCCGGGCATGTTGAGTTCAGCATGCTCTTGAGGGACTGGAGCCATATTTTGGGGTTTGCTGGCTGGGGTAGAGTGCAGCAGAGACATGCGCTTAAAAGCGTGGGCATGACCAGAGAGTACTGTGTATGTATGGAGATTAAGTTAGCGTTATACTTGGGAATTAAAAAGTTACTTCAGAGAGAAACTAGCATGGAAAAAGGGCTCCTTTTCACCATCAGATGAGCTGGGCATTGATAAGCATTGATACTTCCCATTACTAGCTGTAGCTCTTGCCTTTGTGTGTGTACAGACTTTCCCAGACATCCCTTTAGTGACTTTTTTAATGCTTTCTCTGCTATGCTGTCTTGCCTGCTGCATTTCTGACCTTTTTTGTGATGCATTTGTTTGTGTTGGCAGCTGGCGTTCAGTCCTTTGGAAGGCACAAAGATGACCGTAAACAATCTGCATCCTCGAGTCACAGAGGAGGACATTGTTGTGAGTGTTGCTTACTGCCTAACTGTGGATGAGTGACACTTCCTTCCCTTAACCTACCTCTTTTGATAAATCATTTGATCTGTGGCGAATGCAATGAAGAGGGGTATGACATGGCTTGCTTTCCTTGCAAAAACTTTGGGAGTTCCTGGGAGGTTTTTTTGTTTGCTTTATGTTCACTTTTTTAAAAAATGCGTGCTTAAGAAGTTGGGACAAAATACCATTTTTAGGGTGTACTGAGATACCTGGCATCACTTAGAAGAGTTCATGCCAAATCATGCTTGGTGTTGTCCTTGAACTTATGCCCCCATCCAAATTATCTAGGCGCTTCCATTCTCAGCAGACTGAGAATGAGCCTGGTCTTCATGTGTGACAAACAGTATAGAGTACTGGCCTTGAACTTTTCTGCTTGTGTTGGTAGCAGTATGAAGCTTTGTGCAACCTGTATTACTGATGCCAAGTACTCATACCATAGCAAGCGCAAAATAAGATAAGTGGCAAGATTCTGCCATGTATTTATTAAGCAGGATGGGTGGTGCAATTAGGAACTAAGCCTTTCTCACTTGGTGTCTTTGGCTGAAATGGTACCTTTGATGCGACCACGGTTATGACTAACTCTCTACCCTCAGGAGTTATTCTGTGTGTGTGGCGCTCTGAAGCGAGCCCGGCTGGTGCACCCTGGAGTGGCTGAGGTAGTATTTGTGAAGAAAGAAGATGCTATCACAGCATATAAGAAATATAACAACAGGTGCTTAGATGGTAAGTTTGAGGCCAGAGTTGCATTTAGGATAGATAAATCAACAAAGACTTCTCTACCTCGGTGGAGAGTTTAAAAGCATCTCATATGCCACCAAGAGAGAGGAAATGCCAGAAAATCAGTTCAAGACCTAGACAATGTAATATGCTCCTATGTAACTAGCTGAATATATGCAGTTTATTTAAGGGAAATTTTAAAAAAAAAATCCCACCATGTTTTCCTAGAAAGAGAATGCTTAAAGCAGAGGCAGAGTCCTGGTGATTCTGTTGGTCAAACTTCCAGATTAAATTTCTTTTGTTTCTAATCCAGTGCTGAGAGGTAGATATACCTTAGGAAGGCTTTAGCTGCTTACAGACTAACTGTTTGCAAAGTACAAGTAAAATTAGTACTTGCAAAACTCTCAAGGCATAGTCAGAGACATTTTTGAATCAGACCTGTACAATAATTAATACCAGCTTCTCCATAAACTTTGAACAATGCAATTGATAATCTGGATCCACCTGCAGGGTTGTTACAGGCTGAAGTTAGCTGTTAATTTTTCGCTGGAAATAGATGCTTTTTTTTTCTCTAGATGAGTGACATGTTATGAATGTCAGATGAGCAGACAGCTGAGAATGGGAGATTCTCTTGTGTCTCTGCAAAGGATTTTGTACCTATATGTAATTTCTTAATTAGTGTGAGTCTTCATATTGTACTGAGTGTTTCAGTAGCTCAGTTGTTCTTTCTCAGTTTTCCCAGCATGTGGAACTCTATTGCTTGCACTAGTGTGTGATATTTCTGGGGTCTGGCCTTACCATGATTCTGATATAAGGACTTTTTATTGTGTTTGCTTAGGTCAACCAATGAAATGCAATCTTCATATGAATGGGAACGTCATCACTTCAGACCAG